AACAGCAGCTGTAAAAACGTTCAGTGTGCATGAGGACTAAGGTTTCATGTACACGAGCCTACCTTGACCGCCGGCAGTGGGAAAACGCAAATCGCAGCAACCACGGTCGGCGGACAAAACCTTCCTATCATGAAAGCGATTCTTCCGCGTTTAGGAGAGGGAAAATCTCACCTAAACGTGGCAGCTCCTAAACTCTGCTAAGCGCCTAAATGTACATGGACACATAGGCTTTTATGGAGTTGAGTTTAGGAGATTTGGCAAATAAATGCCAAAAGTTCCTACACTCAAGTTTAGGAGCTGCTCATGTACATGAAGCCTTAGTATTGGCGTACACAAAAAATCCCCAGTGTGACGAACGCAGCGTCAGACCCCAGCCCTTCTAACAAAACTTGTGACCGAAGGACTAGCAATCTAAAACCGCGCTGTCACGTGGATAACAATAGTCATTGCCACACCTCAGCACCCTGCAATCAAAGATTTTCTAGCTAATGGACCACAATTATGTGTACTTGCAGCCTGGAAGCGATCTGTCACGCCATATCTGGGTCATGGTTAATTACGCAATTAACCCTTGGCACACTTTGACCGCCACCACCTTTTTACAACTTTACAGAAAAGAGGAAACTCTGCTTTTTTGTAATAGTCAGCAATAACACTAATTTCTACATGAAGTTGGCAATAACAGTCTTTGTTACCACTGTCACTCATAGGCATGTTATACTAGAGGTTTAAACAGTGTACAACAAAAGCGCTTCAGTTATATTCCAATTAATCCTTTTAAATATACAGTTCTTAGTTTGCATTGGTCTACACGCCCAGATCATGGCTGTAATCTGAAGAGCTTTAGAAACAGTTCAACACTTTCAGAAAGTAAAGATTTGCCAAACTAAGGTCAAAAGCAGGTGCAAGTTTCAAAAAATTTCCAGTTGGTTCCGATGTTAAAAGGGAAAATCTTCAATTTAGCTCAACTCAGCTTAGCTAGCTCCAAGCATGACAGCCTTTTTCTAGGAACTCAGCGGGGTGTCTCCTTAAAGCAGAGAACCAATCGCCTCATTTGGGGAGGGGTGTTGTAGGCGGGAGCTCAGGCTGTGACCAAATCCCTCACAAATTATACTATGGTCAATAACTTTTCCTAGGTACATGTAACATTCTATCCATGGGTAGATTATTATGCAGAATCATCTGCTGAATGTCTAGATATGAAATATGACATACCTGCTGGGATGGTTAAGGAGATATTTTCTGCTCTCCTGTTTGTGTCAGCTAGGGGGTGTAATATATCAGACGACTTGTATTAAAGTGACCGGTCTGAATATATGCCTGGTTTTTATGTAAGTCTTTCATATATTCCAAGATATGTACACATAGGCAGGGGTGGACTGACCATTTGGAAACTCGGGCACTGTCCGAGGGCCCGGGGTCAGTAGGGGGCCCCATGAGATGCCCCTGGTACCTTTTTCATAGGCTTTTTTGAGTTTGGGCAAGGACACAGGGGCCCCATGATCCCCTATTGCCCGAGGGCCCCATGAGTTGTCAGTCCGCCCCTGATCATAGGGGAAAGTAGATGTTGAATGTGATGTCTGGTTCACGGTTTATCTGGAATGTCTTTGAGCGCAGTGAAGTACTTGGTTTTTGGCTTTACGATATCCCAGATTGATAAGCTTACAGACATCTGGGCACCAGCTAGGTTGGGATTTTATAGCCCTGGAGCTCTCCCACTGAGCCTGATTGCCTGTGACCTCTGCATCATACAGACCACATGTTACTCAAGAGAGAGGGAGGGGGGGATGAGGGAAGCTGATTTGGGAGTAGAAAATTATAGAAGATGGAGGCCTAAAGGCCAAAATGGAGGTTCGCATCCATCTCTGGGTGGGTCTGCACAATTGCTACACCCAGTGTAAAGGAATGGATTGTACAGATTGACCAGGTATGGTCTATTGGGGAGATGATGTACATAGGGGAGGATTCTTTAGGGAAATATCACGTTATTTGGGGAAATGGTTGGAGTTCAAGAAATCCAGGAGGCATGTAGACATGTTGGATGAAGTTGAAAGGGGTCCAGGGGAATGATAACCAGCGTAAGAGGTTTTTATGTTTTTACACTTGAGAAGTGTAAGGAAGGAATGATTTGGGGTTTCTGAGGGAGGAGGAAAAGAGAAGGGAGTGTTATATTAATATATATATATATATTTTTTTTCATTGGGGGTGAGGTTTATAGGATGTATAAGATGTAAAGATTTGAAAAATGTGGTTGTGGCTTAAAAGTAAATATTATGTTCTATATATTTTAAAATAAAAGCAGAGAATAAAAAGTATCTCTTGGCTAATGGGTGTCAAACTGGTGGTCCTCCAGCTGTTTCCAAACTACAAGTCCCATGAGGCATTGCAAGATTGACAGTTACAAGCATGACTCCCAAAGGCAGAGGCATGATGGGACTTGTAGTTTCGCAACAGCTGAAGAGCGGCCAGTTTGACACCCCTGTCTTAGATTGTAAGCTCTAACAATCAGGACCCTCTGAATCCTCCTGTATTAATTTGTATTGTAATGGTACTGTCTGCCCTCATGTTGTGAAGCGCTGTGTAAACTGTTGGTGCTATAGAAATCCTGTATAATATCAATAATAATTAAAAAAAAATGTACTGTGGTGGGGAGCAAGTGGTTAAACCATATATTTCCTCCATTATCATGGGGAATGTGAGATCTTTGGGGAATAAGGGTGCTCATCAGTCAACATATGTCAGATGTAAATGATGAAACGCGTAGGGTGGAGCTTTCCTGCTGAATTTCCTGCTTTTAATTCTGAGGTTGTCGTACAGTAAGTGCAATGTTATTCTTTTTGGCTTATTTATTTATTAAAAGTCCGCACTAGGAGGGACTCCTTTTGTCCTTCTGATCCTTTTGTCTACATGCTAATGGTGGTTTTCTAAGGCATGGAGGCACTTTAAAAACACAGAGGCAGCATTCTTATAAGGACACAGGAGATTGTCTTGAGAGAGCTTGATGACCATATATCATCTTAGGGGGAGAACTACCTATTTAACGAGCTGTTTTTGACTTGAAAAAAAAAAAAAAAGATGTCAAAAGTTCTTGTGAGTGTTTTGTGGGCACTGTGGGAGAGGAGGAGGATCACTCTATTTCCTCTGTCACCTCATAAGATCACATCACATACGATCACACATTTTTGCTGTGTTTTTGTGTGCGTTTTGCAGAGATGAGAATCTGAGAGATTGTTTCCTCTGTACGGAGCTCTGTGTTGTTTGTCAACACAGAACTCTGAGTTGTGATTGGACACAGCCGATCAGCAGGTCCCAGCCATGAATCATTGGCCAAGATCTGCTGACAGGCTTCCGCTGTGTACAATTACAGTGGGTTCCAAAGGGGGCCTGCTTGTGCAGATAATCAAGGCACTGATTATCAGTGCTGTCCCTTAGTGCCACATATCAGTGATGTCTTATCAGTGCAGCCTATCAGTGCTGCTTATCAGTGCCCATCAGTGCAGCCCTATCAGTGCCCATCAGTGCTGCTTATCAGTGCCCATCAGTTTAGCCCAGCAGCGCACATCAGTGAAGGAGCAAAATTACTTCTTTGCAAAACTTTGTAACAGTTTTGTTTTGTTTGTTTTTTGTTTTGTTTGTTTTTCATTTGTTTAGCAAAAAATAAAACCCCAGTGGTGATTAAATACCACCAAAAGAAAGCTCTACCTGTATAAAAAAAAATGATACAAATTTCATATGGGTCCAGTGTTGCATGACTGCGCAATTGTTAAAGTGCGACAGCATTTAGCACCGAAAATTGGCCTGGTCAGGAAGGAGATGAAAGTGCCCGGTATTGAAGTGGCTAAACTGGGAGATCAATAGGATAAATCTCCTGTGTATTTCAGATTCCATTTCACATATAATTAGTACAAAAATAAATAGTTTGTACCTAATCTCCAGGTGGTTTGATGGGGTTTATTGAATCAGATCAATACGATAAACTTCCATTTAATCCTTTTATGTCCGTAACGTACACATCACTAGAAGCGTTCTCATCGAAGCAATTTCTCTCATTTTAATCGTGGAAAATAAGAATTTTTTTTTTTTAAATTAATAGCGCAACATATTTTAATTTAAATGTTTTCAACTGTATAATGGATTTTTCCGCTAATTTTTATAGCATATAATTACTTTTTCTGTTGGCTAATAATATATTATCCTGAGGCTGATCGGAGCTCTTTAAGCTGTGAGATATGAGCGATACTTTTTTTATTAATAAATATATTCTTCTCTACAGCTGAAATGCGTTTCAACACGTGTTTCTTCAGATCCCCCCCCCCCCCAATTGCAACTTCAGCTGGAAGGGCGCAATGTCCTGGTTGGATTGTATTTCCCCCGTTCTCCATCCTAGCCAAAAGCCACCCAAGTTACTTCTTATCTGAAATAGAACAAAAGCCTGAAATAGAGCTCATCTATGATCAGGAGAACATGTTTTCCCATTGTGCACCACATGGTTGGTCCATGCACATGTCTTGAAGAACATCTAAACCCATAACAAAGAAATATATTGCAGCCAGCTAGTCCTAAGATCTGGCCATTAACCTGCCTCCTGTCCCAGGGTAACAACGATCGCTCATTTTACTTTATGGAGGAGCAACATGGTCACCCTGGTCGGCTTTGGACTATAAACCTGTGCTCTCTTCATCTGCATTACATGGGGGTGATGAGATTTCTAGTTTAACCACTTTAGCTCTGGAAGGTTTTACCCCCTTCATGACCAGGCAATTTTTTGCTATTCAGCACTGTGCTTCTTTAACTAGTTGCCGACTGCAGGCGGCCGAATAATGGCTGCACTGCAGCCAGCCAGTTCTGGGAGGCCGTCATATTACGTCCTTCCAGAACGCGCTCTCATGCGCACCCCTGGCAATCTCCATGATCGCTGTGTCCTACAGACACAGCTGATCACGTGATGTGGCAAAGGCCAGTCACGGCTGCCTTTTACCATGTGATCAGCTGTGTCCAAGGCTGATCACTGAGAAATGCAATTGCCGATTCTCAGCTGCACGTTTCTCACTCTGTCACAGCCTGAGGAAAGTACTGCCGAGAACCAGCAGTTGTCAGAGCAGGGATCGGCACCGATCATCAGTGCATTGATGATCAGTGCCCTGATGATCGGTGCCCAGCAGTGCCACCCACCAGTTCCGCCCACCTGTGCCCAGCAGTTCCGCCCAGCAGTTCCACCCACCTGTGTCCAGCAGTGCAGCCCAGCAGTGCCGCCAGCCAGTGCCCAGCAGTTGCGCCAGCAGTGCCACCTATCAGTACCAGCTCATCAGTGCCCATCAGTGCAGCCTCATCAACAAACATCAGTGAAGGAGAAAAATTATTGCAAAATTTTATAATAGAAACAAAGAAAAATTTTTTTTTTCAAATATTTTTTTGTTTATAGCGCAAAAAGTAAAACACCCAGCGGTGCATAAATACCACCAAAAGAAAGTTCTATTTGTGAGAATCAAATGATAAAAATTTCATATGGGTACAATGTTGCATGACCACATAATTGACATTCAATTTGCGACAGCGCTGAAAGCTGAAAACTGGCCTGGTAAGGAAGGGGGTATAAGTTTACGGTAGGCAAGTGGTTAACTGGTAATTGCACGGTCATGCAACACTGTGCCAAAACAAATTTTTGTAATCAATTTTTTCAAACAAATAGAGCTTGCTGATATTTCCTCACCACTGTTTTTTCTTTTTATTATATAAACGAAAAAAGACCAAAAACTTTGAAAACAATTATCTTCTTTCTGTTATTGAATATTCAGTAAAAAAAAAAAGAAAATGTCTTCATAAATTTTGCCCAAAATGTATTCTGCTACATATTTTTGGTTAAGAAAAAAAAAATCCCATTAAGTGTATATTGATTGGTTTGCATTAAATGTATAGCGTCTTCAAACTATGGGACATATACTTGGAAATTGATAAGTCCTGATGTACTGATGGGCTATCATTTCTTGAGACCCTAAAATGCCAGGACAGTACAGATACCCCCCAAATGATCCATTTTGGAAAGTAGACCGTATTTAGTAAGAGACATGGCGAGTTTTTTAATTTTTTTTTTTTTTTTTAAATTAAGAAATTAAAAAAAAAATTTTAACTTTTTTTTTTTTTTTTTACATACTGTCACCAGTGCAGTACAGCATCATCATACGACTGATGACAGTGTGTTTAAAAACATTTTTTTTTAAAGTTATTCAATTTTTTAATTTTTCTTTTTTTTACAATTTTGTTTTTCATCCTGTCTTTAGAGTAGCTCAGTGTCACCATATGACACTGTACTACTCTGAGGAGTGATCAGGGGGTTTTTTTTTTGTTTTTTTTTTATACTGCTGATCTTATATAAGCAATAATTTTAGCTGTCGTGCATGGGTTAATCATTCATGAACAGCTTGCTTTTGGTTGTGATCGGCTACAGATAATCACATTGTACAGGTAGCCAGGTAGCATGTGATTTCTATGGGCTAATCATAGATCACAACAATAAGCAAGCTGTTCATAAACCCAGTCATGATCAGGAGCTGGCAGGACAAGCTCCCAATCATGTGACCACTGTGACAGCCAATCATAGTGGTCACGTTTTCAGGTCTGTCCTGCCCCCTGGGGAAGACCCACGTAAAAGGACACCAGGGCTGGGCAGGAAAGGGAAAAGTCCCATTTCGATTTTTATTAAATGTGTTTTAGTTCCCCAAGGGATAGGATATGTGTAGTGCATTTTAATAATTTATAACACTTGTGCAAAAAACTCGAAATATCTTCTCTATTTTTAAGCAGCTCCTGTCCTATGTTTATGCAAAGATATAGTGCAAGAAGGTGAAAAAATTAAGAGCAGCAGCACTTTACCAACATCAAAACATATCATTGTGACAATTCTACTAAACCACATATATTTGGAACGCCGGCCTGGGTTCCCAATTGCGGAAGTGGCCCGTGAACCGGAAGTTCCTGCTCCTACGCATTTCGTCACATCCAGGACGTCATCAGGAGGTGTCACGAATGTGACGAAATGTGTACAGTAAGGAGCCTCCGGTTCAGGGGCCACTTCTGCAATTTGGAATGCACACCAGCTCCCATGCTGTTTGGAGCAGCAGAGATCCATTACACATACTGGCAGATGATTCCAGGGTGCCAGGTTGGGCACCGTACCATGTGAGTGCGATTTTTTCTTTTTTTTTTCTTCTTGCGATTTAAACATTTTAATAAACAATGCTATACTATGGAGATGTTTTCTGCTTAAGCCCTTCTACATATGGGCAAGAGGTATTGAGCTATATCTGAAACATTGCCATGCACAGCAGGGCTGTGGAAACGTGCATTTGACCTACCTTAGGGGGTCAACATCTTCTGGTGAGTTGGGTCCTAGAGGGACAGAGGACACGGTGCACAGAGTGTTATGATTGTAGTGGTGGAAGCACACAGACGGTGGTCGCACTTCAATTTTGGTTGAAGGAAATGGTCAAAATAAGAAAGAGACACACTTCTTTCTATGCACTGGTGCTCTAAAAGAGACTTATAGTATCATATAACTTTTTTGTATTGGGATTTAGAATTTATATACTGTGTATATAGTGTTTTTTAGCATGATTGTCACAGTTGCATGTTTTGATGTTGGTAAAGCGCATCTCCTAATTTTTTTTTACGTGTAGTGCATTGTCCCATCTTCCTATGTGCTGTCTAAGGCTAGCTGTGGGGTTGGAAAGGGTTGCTCTGCTCCCTCCACAGCCATCCAACCACACAGCCACTTTCTCCAAGCACCTGTCCAAGAGGATCTCCTGACAAAGAATGCAGGGGCACTGGCCAATTAAAATGTTCCAAGCAAAGTGCTTGGAGATGGACAAAATTGCTGCTTATCAAAGCAGTCATCTCCTTGCTTGCTGTGTATTCAAACGCCCATGGGGGGCGCCCTGTTTGACTTTACAGCTAGCCATAGACAGCACCTGAGATGGACAAAATTGCTGCCTATCAAAGCAACCATCTCCTTGTATGCTGTGTGTTTGAACACCCATGGGGGGGGTGGGGGTGTAGGGGGTGCCTTGCCTGACCTGACCTTACAGCTAGCCATAGACAAGACATATGAAAATGGGACAAAATACTACATGTACTCTGTCTCCTGGGGAACAGAGCACATTAATACATTCAAAGTGAGACAAAATACCTCTATCAGGAAAATACCACATTATGGCCACTAGATGGAGCTGACAATCACATGAAATAAACATATTAGACACATCATGGGGATGTTTCAATTAAATGCTGAGGAACAGCAAATTTTTTTTTTTTTTTTTTAAATATAGACCCCCTCCCTCCCCCCAAGCGTACATGTCATTGGTTATATGGTATTGTAGCTTTTTATATATATTTTTTTTATTTTTTAAATGTGATCTTTAGAAAAGCTTAAGAATTAATTCACATTACTGACTAGTTACTCAGCCAGCAAGAATCGGCATCCTCATGCAGAATATGTGCGAACAGCTAGAACGGACAGATTTGGGCCCTGTACAAATCAATGGCCTGCACCACCTCTGTGGGTATATAACCACATTTATGTGGTTAGCCCGGATCCTCCTCTTCTCGGGGCCCCTGCTGGTGCTCCAGGCCACTCCCTCTTGTCGGCTGTCCCCATAGCAAACAGCTTGCTATGGGGACACCTGAGCAGGCGCGCTCTTGAGCTGTTGCTCTGTGTGCCCATTCACACACAGAGACGCATCTCGATCCCAACCCCTCTCCTGATTGGCTCACTGGCTGTGATTGACAGCAGCAGGAGCCATTGGTTGCTGCCTCAGCCAATCAGGAGTGAAATTCCCCAGAGAGCAGAGGCTCTCGTGGACATCGCTGCATCAAGAAGGGGCTCATTGAAGTGTTAAGGGGAGGTTGGGGGGGCTACTGCACACAGAAAACTTTTCTACCTTCATGCAAAGAATGCATGAAAATAATAAATTTGAGACTGTAGAACCACTTAAATGTGATTATAAAGGTTTTATTTTTTTCTTTTTACCAAACCTGTTATACTTCAATGACAGAGAAGACACTACTCAAACTAGGCCTGAATTGCTGTGTTGGCCTCATCCATCGCTCCGGCCATGCTCCCTGAAGCATTTTTCTTTGCCCACTGGGGCTTGACCACAGAATTACGTCTTCTCGGTCATTGAACTCACACTGCTGGATTGATTTACAGATGCCTGCTCCCTTTTTCTGAGCATTGGTGTGAAGATTTCTTTTCTCTGGCTTTGAGCGGCACTTATTCATTGGAAGCGACTTATTCATTGGAATCATGTTATACTTACCTGCTCTGTGTAATTGTTTTGCACAGAGCAGCCCCAATTCTTCTTTTCTGGGGCACACCTGTAGGCACTCTGGCCTCAGTCTCTTCTCTGTGTACCATCATAGGAAGCCATTTCCGATGGTGATACATGTGTTGGCTCGATCCCGAGCCACTCTGTGTTCATTGGCACACACAGTGCAGCTCGGCCCTGCCCCCCAGCTCCCTCATCATCACATTTGATTGACAGCAGCGGGAGCCAATGGCTTCCCCTGCCCTCACTGAGTCCAATGAGGAGGGATGGAGCGGAGAGAGGCGCTGATCTCAGGTACACAGCTGAATCGAGATCGGGCTCAGGTAAATATAATCAAGAGATGATAATAAAAGGTTTTTACCTTTTTAAAGTATAGAATCTATTAAAGTAAAAAAAAAAAACTCTTTAGCCTCTACAACCACTTTAATTACAATATAATATAATTAATAAGAAAAGTTCTTCAAGATGTGTCTGTGCTCTGCAAGCATGTTGTATATGTGGGACAATAATCCTTATAATGTCGCTATTAGAGTGACTTAATATAGCGTGAGTGCCCAGTTCAAAGTATCCCAGTAGGTGGAGTAAAGTGAAGGATCAATAGGATCCCTGTTGCTACATGGTGATATCCAAACAAAACGATACGTGGTGGTATCCAAAACCGATATAAAACTGCGCACTCACCAAATGCACAATCAGTATGCGCATGTAAGTGATGACCCCTCTTAAGGTATGGCTCCAGGACTCGTCTGGAATAAGGTCTGGTCTATTCCTGTGTTTTGATCCCTTGGCTATCAAGCATGGCTCCGTTCCCCTTTTAGACGTGACTCTGTGGGTGGTGGGAAGCTCACCAAGGAGCCCCAGAGAGAAAGGAGGCCAGAACAGCGTGATACTGCTTGAAAATGTGTATATTTATTCCATCCAGCAAAGGGTAAAAACAAAATACTGACCAGACAAATCAAGATGGCCGCCGGGACCCAGGTGGTTCCGGCGGCAATAGGACGTCACTGTACTG